GCAGGTGTATTTGGCATAATTTCAGATAATATGCGATTGGACAGATTATGATAATCGGATGAAGAAGCTGGTGGCAATTGTGGATGATCAGTTGCAGAGGAAGCGCCTTCCATCGGTGCACCCTCACCATTCGATGCTTTATCCATTGACACATGCCACACGAATAGCTATTGCTGCAAAGCATGCACAGCTGTGTATTGAAAAAGTACGGGGATTGCACTTATGCTTTTTCACATTTTGCTTGTATTTTGGATCTTGGCATAGTTTCTGAGTTGGTTAATCAACTTTTTTTCGCGGGTATTTGTACAAAATTCCCATCCAGGCACGCCTCATTGTAATGCGAGATTGGCAACAAACTGTTTTCCACTGAGATTTTTCTGACTTTTATGAAAATAAAATGTGAGCAGTTAGATTTTTTTCAGGATTTTTTCCCCTTAAGAGTGTTTTTCAGTCACTTTTTTTTCCAGGTTCAAGTCTTTCATAAAGCGCCTTATGTCTATCCGGATCGAAACAGCGTCCGCAAGGGAATGCGTCTACGTATTGGCTATGTGTCTTCGGATTTTGGCAATCACCCTACCAGTCATTTGATGCAGTCAATACCTGGCATGCACAACCGTGACAATGTTGAGGTATTCTTTGGAAATAGACGTATTCCTGCGTAATAACAGATGGGGCAGTTGAGTTATTACAGTTATGGTTTGGGTGATTTTATCTGTAATTTTAAAAATTTTAGGGGTTGCATGTGATAGATTCTGTTTTGCGGGAACCCAATGTGAAAGTATGAGGGCCCTGGACAGTTTTAATGTGCATCATATGTGCAGAGTCTTAACTTATTGCAAACTCTTCGTTTTTTTCTTTTTTATAAAAATTTACCTTTTTTTGGAATTTTTTTTTTAGAAATTCCTCTCTGATTGTTAGGTTTGCTTTCTTGAGCTTCCTTTGAAACATTTCCTCAATGAAGGGGGTTATTTTTTGAGGAAATTTGCTAACATCTGGCTGTCAAGCAAACTGTGTATTTTAGCTTGTCACAGCTTCCAGTATTCAAAAAAGTGTTAACTTGTTTCTGTATGTGAAAACCACTTTTTACTGAATAAGCTGGTGGATAGAGGAATTGCTTTATGTATGTTATTTGCTTTCAGGTGTTCTGTTATGCGCTTTCAGCGAATGATGGGACTACTTTCCGACATAAACTAAAGAACGAATCAGAGCACTTCATCGATTTATCGGACGTACGAATTTTTTATGCGTTTTTTGCAGCAATGCAATGCGAAAAACGCATATTGACGAGAGGTTGTCTGT